TTTAGACCAATTTTCTCGACACAATTTTTTAAGGAAAATATTACGGCTGAAAGGGTTGTAATACAATACCACACTTGAACTAACTTTTTAAGCTTTCCTTGAGGTTTATTCAAATCAGGGGAGAAAGAAGCACCCTACGCCTTTGTTCCTTACCTTGACTTCATGTAGTCCTCGGAACAATAATCAGATAAATTTGTCTGTTTATCGTTTTAGGGGATACTGTTGGCTGTGGTATTAACTTCGTGGAGCGGACCTGCTTCTTCACGAAAAATGGAATCAATCTAGGGCCAGTAGTAACAGATCTACCACTACGATCCTTCTATCCAACTGTGGGGCTACAAACGCCAGGAGAAACAGTCGAGGTTGGCAATCTGAGATTTTGTTGGTTTATTTTTTTTTGCGAAGGGCGAAATATATTATTTTAAAAGCTGCGTGTATTCTAGGCCAACTTTGGACAGAAGCCGTTTGTCTTTGACCTTTCCGATTTCAAATTTGAGGCGAAGTATTTCATCAACAAAACCGTTTCAAGCCGCGCGATAGAGCGCAATCATCTGCATTCGCTTGTTTCGTCTTATCTTATTCATAGAGGATACAACAAATCAGCCTACGCACTCGCAAAACGTAAGATGTACAATTCTGTTTGAGTTTTTGTTCCGACCACTCAAGGAGTGGGAAGGAACTATGGCCTAGATACTCTAAAGTACATCAAATACTTTCATACAATTTGAAGCACTGCAAAAAGGTGAGAGAGTGTGCTATTTTATAGAAGCGCTCTAGGATTTGAATTAAAGCATAGGTTTCTAAGAAAAAAGTAATGAAAAATGGAACTCTAAATTTATATTTTGTTGAGTGTGCTACCTACGCAACATTCTGTCAGTCTTTATTTGAGGTTTCTGCTTTTTATTGGTTTATCGAATTTAGTTGTTTTAGAGACTGGAATGGCAGTATCTGAAGGAATGCAATCGATTGAGAATAGACGGTTCCTTGAGAAGCTGATAACTGAGGGAAACATAAGCGAAGCTCTGACTGAAACAGAAAAGCGCTATCCGAGTCTTCTCAGTGACAACATCAAACTTGAATTTCTTCTGAAATGCCGCCAGTTTGTCGAACTTGTTGCAAGCGGATCGAACAATAATTGCCAGGAATCTAATAGAATCCAATCTAATGGTGACATAAATGGATCTTCGGAGAATAGCGTAGCCCCTGAGAGCGAAAGTCGAATCCAGATTGATGTAAATGGCGAGAGGTTGCAGATAAGTGCTACTGGCATCCCTCCGTCTGTTTCGAATGGGTCTGAAAGCAATGGAATCGCCGTAATGTCGAATGATGTAGTATTACCGGAGGCAGAACTTTCACAGAGACCAGAATCGCGTCTTTCAGAAGGACCGACTGAAATGGACCTGGATTGCAATAGTTGCCACGCAAACAACGCAGAAGCTAATCAGAATAGTTATCTCGATTCTCAAGCTGCATCAAGTTCAAGTAATGCTACTAATACCAATGCTAACGCAATGAGCAATGAAGATTCTCGTATAATGGAAGCTATTTTACAGGGTAGGAAATTGAGGCAATTGGCAGACAAAGCAATAGCATCCGGTGATTGCAATTCGGAAAACATAGAACAGCATTTGTTAGAAGTTTTTGGCCTCTTAGCATATGAAAAACCCGGTGAAAGTCCCTTAAAACATGTACTAGAGCCTAGTTACAGAGAAAGTGCTTGCAATTTGCTCAATGGGGCTATACTTCAGTCTCATAACATGGCGGCAGATCCACAGTTACAGACATTGTTAATCCAATCAGCCACCTGTTTGCAGGAGATGACGTCACTAGGAATGCCAGAAGCTGCTTTTGTCAGTATGAAAGATGTAGTTCAGTAAATAAAACAGTGTCAGGGCAAATGGGAACAGCTGACTAGTGTGAACTACTTTTGTCAAATTAATCAAAAACGAGATGAAATAGTTCTAATTATTTTCTCATACTTTGAGTCATACAAAAAACTCAAAATATTCGTCAAAAAGATTGTTTGTTGATTTCAATGCTACTTTATTGTGTTCAATTTGGTACGTTTTTGATTTCAATGCTGGTATCTTAAGCATATAGCGCCTTATCTTGTTCGATTTCTTGTTTAAAAGTAATGAACGTAGTGAAGACTCTTATATAGGTCTTTTCTTTTTTTTTTGTGTTTTTTGTTTGAGTTTTTGCTGTTTGAATTTTTTCTTCTTATTAAGTTCAGTTCCTTTCCTTCGTTAAAAGGAAGTGAAATGCCTCAATCGTACAGCAAATGTGTAAAGGTCACGAAAATTGTGATCGACCTCTTGTTTCGAAATCGGATTTTAATGTTCAGTCTCCCAGCTGAATTAAAGATTTACCTATTGCTCCAGTTTTCTCAAATTCATTTAACTTTGTTTTACTAAGCGTACAATGTTGGGTGATTGCTTAGTAGTCTAGCCTAAAGCTAAAAGTCTCAGCTGAGGTCTTCGGGTTTCTTGACAAGAGTTATAGTTTAAAAAAAATAGTTAGAAAAGTGTATAAATTAATGAGGTTGCTCAGTGGTTAAATAAATTTTGTTAATATAAAAAGATGGAACAACTTAATCCTTTTTACGCTAGCGATCAGCTTAGTGTATCATTACGGACATACTTTTTTTCTGACCTTACTTCAAATTGAAGGGTTTATTAAAAGCGTTCACTTATTTGGAATATGTTCCTTGCTTTATTTATGGCTAGTGTTTGGCACCTATTGAGCTTCCGTGGCTGAGTGGTTAGTGTGTGAGACTCTCAATCTCTAGGTCACAGGTTCGAATCTCAGACGTAGTAGAAGTTATACTAATTCAAAGCTTAATTCTAATTTTGCTTATTGCACTTTATAGAGATGCTTTTGTCGTGTTCTCACTAGTGTTTGCGAGGCGAAGCTTTGTCTCTGTGTTATTAATGGCTGCTTGTTTTAATCTTAGGCCTCTTCACTGTTTTTCATCTGACTGTTGTAGAGAAATCACGAGTTGTAGTCGCTAGCTCGATTCTCGAGTGAAATTCAGCTAATAGAAGTCTCGAGTTCCCGTCAGTTACCTCTACTTTGATCATTCTGCTTCCGTTTCTGCTTGCGTTCTGTGAGTGTCCTGGGAGGGTAGTCTTTTTTGTTCTGTGGTTTTTGATTTTTTTTAGGATCGCAATTTTTTGTATTTGCCTCAAGATGTCATATTTTTTGGACTTTGAAGTCTATGGAGAAGAAAAATAACGAAGAATATAGAATTTACTGAAAATTGAGCTCTTGATTTTAACCGTTTGTCAACTGAAAAAATGAGACGAACAAAAAAAATCAGGCTGACTCAAACCTGTGCAGCTGATCTTTTCATCAAACAGCTTTGTTCTACATCAATCCTTTCTTCGGAAGTCATTGACTTCAATTTTAATTGTTTTTATAGATTAAAATCAAATATTAATTTGATCAGGGTAATTTTTTTTAAATTTGCACCGTTTTTTATCGTTAATTTTCCGAACATAAAACATGCAACTTATCAATGCTTACTTTTGTTTCGATCATGCAAGGCCCTCTATTTCTTTTCTTTGAAATTCGAAAGTTGAGATATTTGGAAGAAATATTTCAGTATTTGTTTCCGTTTACTTGCGTTCATGGGCTTTTTTCCAACTGTCTCTTGGCTAATTTTTTTATTTGATGATGAAAAATATTCGCAAAACAGAAGTTTTCTCAATTTTTTCACTTCCATTTTCTCTGCTTCGCCTGTGTTCAATTTGTGTTTTTTTTTTGTTTTTAATTTTTTTTCTGCCGTAACAGTATTCAAAGTCTCATTTGCTAGTCCTTGAGCGTCATGCTGTTTTAATCCTATAATTTTTTGTTCACTTGTGGTACGAAGCTCAACTTCGCCTCTGTGTTTGATTTTTCTGGCGTAAACATACAAAGAAAAGCGATTGTGGAATATATCCAAAAGCTTAAAGTGATTATTCTCGCGAGAGGCAATTGTTACTAAATCGGAGTATAGATAGAGTTTCTCTGGCTTACAATGATATGTTAATTTGGTATCGTAAGTGGTGCGAAGCACCGCATCGCCTTTATGTTTCAAACCTCATTTTAAAACTCTGGTTTTGCTTCTAAAACTTTTGTTTTATTCTTACTTCTCGTATTCAAAATTTGCAGAAACCTCTGGAAAATGAACATCAATTTTGCTTTATGACCTTTGAGGTTTTTTTCCCTGCAAAACTTTTTACAAGGAGCTGTTATATGATTAATTATGCTGGGAGTGATTGCCGTTTGAGTATGTCAAGTGTTCAATCGTATGTCTTCCTTTACTTGGTACATTTTTGCAATATTTTGTTCTGCACCCTTAGTAAGGAGCTTTTGACAAATTAATTGATGAACCACTAGTTGCAATTAGTTAAATTTTTAATTGGAAGCTTCCAATATACGTTCTGTGAAATATTGTGGCGCCCATCTTAGTATTTTTGGCCTAATTAAAAGTGGATACACTTTGCCTGAATGCTTATTTAACACTGGCAAGTGTGTTTCAAGTCGTTTTCTTCAAATTGAAATTCATTTGTCGAGAAACGTTTGAGTGGGTTTTTTCCATTTTTTGTTCGAGTAGTTTTTCCTGTTTGGTGGGTTCTGTGGATTTTCATGTTTGCGAGCTTGCCATGCTGTCTGTGATGTGTTGCAATTGTTACGAAGCTCTGCTTCGCCTCTGTGTCCGAAGTGTCATTTTTTGCATGGGTATCATCGTCAATAAATATGTAACGCTGTTTTGCGTATATGTAAAAACTGTTGAAGCCTAATTTTACGTTTTGGTAGTTTGGCTTTTGATTTCTTTAAGCTTACTGCACTTTGGAAGCTGCCAAATGGAAGGTTATTGACGCTCTCGAATAACAAAGAGCAATTTACGCAAAGAATGAAGCTTTAGTTTCAAAAATTAAATTTTAATTTAAAAATCTAATAGCGGAATAAATGACCTACTGATCCAGCTTCCCAAATTTTTATTGTGTTTGTTCTAGGACAAGGCGTGGATAAAAATCACAAGGACGCTGGATCTGTGCGAACTGCACATCCAATTCCGACCGGTGTTGGCATTTACTACTTCGAGATATTTGTCCACAGTAAAGGAAGAGACGGCTACATGGGCATTGGCATCTCTCCTCACAGCCAGAGTAATCTCAACCGGCTGCCAGGCTGGGACAAAGACTCATATGGGTACCACGGAGACGATGGGAACTCTTTTTGCTCCAAAGGAAGTGGACAACCGTATGGTCCTACTTTTACCACAGGTTATTTCGTTAGGAGGCATTAATTTCAGTCCATATAAGAAAAATTAGAATTATCAAAGGATATTAGATGTCATGCAAGTAGCACAGAATGTTCCGACTACGATCTTTCAAGTAAATAAATTCAAAATTGAAGTAAAAAAGTATAAAATAATAAACAATTCAAAACATCTTTTCTAGCCGATTTTCGTGAAACTGGTCGAAAAATTGGTAAATTTTAGACCAATTTTCTCGACACAATTTCTTAAGAAAAATATTACGGCTGAAAGGGTTGTAATACAATACCACACTTGAACTAACTTTTTAAGCTTTCCTTGAGGTTTATTCAAATCAGGGGAGAAAGAAGCACCCTACGCCTTTGTTCCTTACCTTGACTTCATGTAGTCCTCGGAACAATAATCAGATAAATTTGTCTGTTTATCGTTTTAGGGGATACTGTTGGCTGTGGTATTAACTTCGTGGAGCGGACCTGCTTCTTCACGAAAAATGGAATCAATCTAGGGCCAGTAGTAACAGATCTACCACTACGATCCTTCTATCCAACTGTGGGGCTACAAACGCCAGGAGAAACAGTCGAGGTTGGCAATCTGAGATTTTGTTGGTTTATTTTTTTTTGCGAAGGGCGAAATATATTATTTTAAAAGCTGCGTGTATTCTAGGCCAACTTTGGACAGAAGCCGTTTGTCTTTGACCTTTCCGATTTCAAATTTGAGGCGAAGTATTTCATCAACAAAACCGTTTCAAGCCGCGCGATAGCACAATCATCTGCATTCGCTTGTTTCGTCTTATCTTATTCATAGAGGATACAACAAATCAGCCTACGCACTCGCAAAACGTAAGATGTACAATTCTGTTTGAGTTTTTGTTCTGACCACTCAAGGAGTGGGAAGGAACTATGGCCTAGATACTTTAAAGTACATCAAATACTTTCATACAATTTGAAGCACTGCAAAAAGGTGAGAGAGTGTGCTATTTTATAGAAGCGTTCTAGGATTTGAATTAAAGCATAGGTTTCTAAGAAAAAAGTAATGAAAAATGGAACTCTAATTTTATGTTTTGTTGAGTGTGCTACCTACGCAACATTCTGTCAGTCTTTATTTGAGGTTTCTGCTTTTTATTGGTTTATCGAATTTAGTTGTTTTAGAGACTGGAATGGCAGTATCTGAAGGAATGCAATCGATTGAGAATAGACGGTTCCTTGAGAAGCTGATAACTGAGGGAAACATAAGCGAAGCTCTGACTGAAACAGAAAAGCGCTATCCGAGTCTTCTCAGTGACAACATCAAACTTGAATTTCTTCTGAAATGCCGCCAGTTTGTCGAACTTGTTGCAAGCGGATCGAACAATAATTGCCAGGAATCTAATAGAATCCAATCTAATGGTGACATAAATGGATCTTCGGAGAATAGCGTAGCCCCTGAGAGCGAAAGTCGAAACCAGATTGATGTAAATGGCGAGAGGTTGCAGATAAGTGCTACTGGCATCCCTCCGTCTGTTTCGAATGGGTCTGAAAGCAATGGAATCGCCGTAATGTCGAATGATGTAGTATTACCGGAGGCAGAACTTTCACAGAGACCAGAATCGCGTCTTTCAGAAGGACCGACTGAAATGGACCTGGATTGCAATAGTTGCCACGCAAACAACGCAGAAGCTAATCAGAATAGTTATCTCGATTCTCAAGCTGCATCAAGTTCAAGTAATGCTACTAATACCAATGCTAACGCAATGAGCAATGAAGATTCTCGTATAATGGAAGCTATTTTACAGGGTAGGAAATTGAGGCAATTGGCAGACAAAGCAATAGCATCCGGTGATTGCAATTCGGAAAACATAGAACAGCATTTGTTAGAAGTTTTTGGCCTCTTAGCATATGAAAAACCCGGTGAAAGTCCCTTAAAACATGTACTAGAGCCTAGTTACAGAGAACGTGCTTGCAATTTGCTCAATGGGGCTATACTTCAGTCTCATAACATGGCGGCAGATCCACAGTTACAGACATTGTTAATCCAATCAGCCACCTGTTTGCAGGAGATGACGTCACTAGGAATGCCAGAAGCTGCTTTTGTCAGTATGAAAGATGTAGTTCAGTAAATAAAACAGTGTCAGGGCAAATGGGAACAGCTGACTAGTGTGAACTACTTTTGTCAAATTAATCAAAAACGAGATGAAATAGTTCTAATTATTTTCTCATACTTTGAGTCATACAAAAAACTCAAAATATTCGTCAAAAAGATTGTTTGTTGATTTCAATGCTACTTTATTGTGTTCAATTTGGTACGTTTTTGATTTCAATGCTGGTATCTTAAGCATATAGCGCCTTATCTTGTTCGATTTCTTGTTTAAAAGTAATGAACGTAGTGAAGACTCTTATATAGGTCTTTTTTGTTTTTTTTTTGTGTTTTTTGTTTGAGTTTTTGCTGTTTGAATTTTTTCTTCTTATTAAGTTCAGTTCATTTCCTTCGTTAAAAGGAAGTGAAATGCCTCAATCGTACAGCAAATGTGTAAAGGTCACGAAAATTGTGATCGACCTCTTGTTTCGAAATCGGATTTTAATGTTCAGTCTCCCAGCTGAATTAAAGATTTACCTATTGCTCCAGTTTTCTCAAATTCATTTAACTTTGTTTTACTAAGCGTACAATGTTGGGTGATTGCTTAGTAGTCTAGCCTAAAGCTAAAAGTCTCAGCTGAGGTCTTCGGGTTTCTTGACAAGAGTTATAGTTTAAAAAAAATAGTTAGAAAAGTGTATAAATTAATGAGGTTGCTCAGTGGTTAAATAAATTTTGTTAATATAAAAAGATGGAACAACTTAATCCTTTTTACGCTAGCGATCAGCTTAGTGTATCATTACGGACATACTTTTTTTCTGACCTTACTTCAAATTGAAGGGTTTATTAAAAGCGTTCACTTATTTGGAATATGTTCCTTGCTTTATTTATGGCTAGTGTTTGGCACCTATTGAGCTTCCGTGGCTGAGTGGTTAGTGTGTGAGACTCTCAATCTCTAGGTCACAGGTTCGAATCTCAGACGTAGTAGAAGTTATACTAATTCAAAGCTTAATTCTAATTTTGCTTATTGCACTTTATAGAGATGCTTTTGTCGTGTTCTCACTAGTGTTTGCGAGGCGAAGCTTTGTCTCTGTGTTATTAATGGCTGCTTGTTTTAATCTTAGGCCTCTTCACTGTTTTTCATCTGACTGTTGTAGAGAAATCACGAGTTGTAGTCGCTAGCTCGATTCTCGAGTGAAATTCAGCTAATAGAAGTCTCGAGTTCCCGTGAGTTACCTCTACTTTGATCATTCTGCTTCCGTTTCTGCTTGCGTTCTGTGAGTGTCCTGGGAGGGTAGTCTTTTTTGTTCTGTGGTTTTTGATTTTTTTTAGGATCGCAATTTTTTGTATTTGTCTCAAGATGTCATATTTTTTGGACTTTGAAGTCTATGGAGAAGAAAAATAACGAAGAATATAGAATTTACTGAAAATTGAGCTCTTGATTTTAACCGTTTGTCAACTGAAAAAATGAGACGAACAAAAAAAATCAGGCTGACTCAAACCTGTGCAGCTGATCTTTTCATCAAACAGCTTTGTTCTACATCAATCCTTTCTTCGGAAGTCATTGACTTCAATTTTAATTGTTTTTATAGATTAAAATCAAATATTAATTTGATCAGGGTAATTTTTTTTAAATTTGCACCGTTTTTTATCGTTAATTTTCCGAACATAAAACATGCAACTTATCAATGCTTACTTTTGTTTCGATCATGCAAGTTTTTTTTTCATTCCAGTTTCCTCTCTAATTGATATTAAAAGAATTCAAATTTTTAAACTCTTTTAGGGCTTTCACTTTTCTGGTCCCTGATGTGCATATTTTCGAATTTGGTCATAAGGATACTAACTTGAAAATCTGGTTGAGGATACGGAAAATCAGTAATTCCTTCGAAATGAATTCTTTTTTTGTTTGAGCCAAATTTAACGATGTTTTCTATTTGTTTTTTTTTTCTTGATTTTGTACAGAACATTTTGATCTTCTAGGGAAATATCTGCCACAACTAGTTTTGAGGAAAATGCTTTTTCCTTGGTCATGTAAGTTATTGCTCTTGTTTGGTGGTAAAGTCCATCGGTTGCATTGCGGCTTCAGGGAGTGTTTAAGCTGCCAATGTATCCTATTGTTCTGATTTCAAATAGAAACAGAAACATGAATTATTTTATTGCGTTCACAAAATGTGACGCCGCCGCCAGCACAAGAAATATGTTTTTATTACCTTGCAAAAGGAAGGGAAATGCTATTGGAATAATTCGTATAACGTTTTAAGCATTGAGAATTGAAACGACTAATCTCATTCAATGCGAATAGTAACGATTCCTCTCGTAAAGTACGAGCATACGAAACTTTCTTCTCGTAAACTACGAATGTACCAATAGAAAATACGAAGTTAAGAAGTAACTTCTCATTTGATACGAAAAGTGGTACGATTTCCCATCTGAGTATAAATAGAAGCTCAAAACTACGGGAATTCATTCCCAACAATTTCTCTTCTAACACCACAACCTCCCTCTCTAATATCCCAACAATATCTCTTCTAACACCAACACCACTCTCTTCAACCGCCCCAACCATTCTCTAAAATAATATCCAATCTCAGAAAAAAGATCTCTTATCTCAGCGTAAAAAAATATATGTTGAGTCAAAAGGCAACTTGCTGTAAATTCATACTAACTTCTTTTCTAATAAAATATTTCTCAGCGAATTTTAGATTTACTTTCTAAGATAGAAAGTAGAAAGGACCCTCTATTCCTAGCAAGCGTTTTGTCCGGCGCACATAGTGTTGCTAGCTCAGAATAAATTGGTGCGACCAGTGAGGCACACCTTCTAAAAATTCGCTAAAATTGCTAAAGTCTCAAAAAGAGATAAAAAGCAAACATTCCAATTCTCAAACTAGAGAATTGTTGAGATTTCTCTTATAAATAAAGAGAAGTAATAAATTTCCAAATCGGAAATTTAAGTTTTCTAAGCAAATTTATAAACTTTTCTATCTTTCTGTAAATTTTTAAACTAAACATAAAATGGCTGATACCCCAATATCCCATCCCAACTTGTCTTTAATGACATTTTCGGGAAACGATCCGAACCAAAATGCTACAGCATTTTGGAATTCAGTTGAAAACAAAATTCTTTTCTCATTAGATCAAAGACCTAATGATGGCGACGCACGACGCAGCTATGATAGCAGACAACGATCCCTATTCGGATCATTGTTAACTGATACATCTCTTGAATGGTTCAATGATAATGTAACCAATGCTACCACATCGGCACAACTCAAAGATCTCTTCCTAAACAGATTCACTGACGGACGAGATCAATTCAAACATAGAATTGATGCTGAAAATGCATCTCGCCAAGATGGCGAATTAATAAAAAATTACTTCCACAGAATCAAATCTTCTGTAGATAGAGGATGGCCCGAAAGTATTGATGTAACAGTTCATGTTGATGAAGATGCTCAAAATGCTGAGAGAACTATACAAACCAGACAAAGGAGTCAAAAGTATATTGATTTCTCAATTAAGGGACTAAGACCTCTAGCCCTTAAACAAAAAGCTCATGAATACATGATAGAACATCCAAATGCCAATTGGGATCAATTCACAAATCATGTAATCACAAAGGATCTAACATTCATTGTTGCTACTGATCCTGGTAATAAGTCAACAACGGATAAAATGACTTCATTAGAAACTCAAATTGAAGAACTAACTAAATTGATCAAGAATCAAGAAGTTAGTGCAATCACTGATCAGAATTCATTTCAACGACGTCACCCTGACATCAAGGGAAGACCTAATAGTACACAATTCTGCGAATATTGCAGAATGAATGGACATTCTATATCTAGATGTACAAAAAAGCAATTTGAGTACGAAGTAAATAAGTTGCGAAAAGAGCTCACAACAAAAAATGAACCAAGAGTTTCATTTGAAACTGATTATAAACGAAATCGAAGACCGAATAACTTCCCTAACCAGAGTAACCCTAACCCAAGCAACCGGTTTTGAGATAACCAAAACAGATCTACTAACAATTCAAACCCTAGCCAAAATAGCTATGGCATTCGCCATAATTATAACTACAACGGAAACAATTTCCAAAAGGCTAATGCACAATCGTCTTTCAATACCAAAAGACCCCAAACCTATGATGATAGGTATCCCAGAGAAAACAAATTCAGAGAAAATGAACAAGTTGCTAACAGTTCTACGACCAAGAAAATAGGCAATTCAATAGTAACCCTAGAGGTCGACCATATAGCACTGGAAGCTATAATAACAATAACAGTCGAGACTCGACGCGATCTCAATCACTAAATTTTAGATCGAATCAAATAGAGTCTGAAACTACCCACTGGGTTGAGCAAGAAGTCAATTACTGTGATGCGATCACTGATTTATTTCCTTTAAACTATTAAAGTCTCCGAAACCGAGCGATGATAGTAATCCTAAATCAAGGATATATCTTAGCTTATATCATTTTGCCACCGGAGACAAAAATAATAATAGTGGACTCGAAATTGAATTCATGATTGACCCAGGATCAACTTGTAGTATCATAAACTACCCAAATTATCGGGAATTGGAAAAATTAGGTCAAAAAATGACAATTTACCGATCCAAAATTAAAGCAAAGACTTATAATGGATCTGGTATACGCATGTTTGGCCATACATCTATTGAATCTTGTTTCGACACTGATGGAAAGTATCCATCTAACCACAAAGTGTGGATAACTGAAGAAAAGACTGCTAATCTATTGGGAGTAGACTTTTGTCATCTATTCTTAAAAGCTCTCTACTTTGATATCCCCGCAGTTGAGCTAAAATCAAAAGAAGGTGTAATATCCTACGGGTTGATGAACAATGATAAAGAATATCCTAATGTTTCAAAAATTGTCTCAATTAACTTGAAAGAACCCCTGTTCATTCCAGCACGATCTACATACTTATACAAACACTCGGCTGAACCGAATTCATACTTCGAAAAAGGGACTACATTCCTGCCTCATAAAAATACAACCAAAACCGAATTGGTTTTCATTAATACAATTTGTACTCAAACTGAGCAAAGCCTACCTATTCTAATTGAGAATCAGAAAGATCATCCTGTCACACTAAACAAGTGTGTACTAGGTTGTGCAGTAACTGATATTCAGGGATACGAGGATAAAATATTTGCTATCTACGATTGTGATGAGTTCACAACGAGAATTTTGAACGAAAGTTCGGAATTCGATAGCTGTTTCAT